AAGAAATTGCCCTTCAGATCTGAAGGGCAATTTCTTTGGTAATACTCAACCATTCTCTTAGACTTTTCGAGGCGTTTCCAATTAAACAAATTTTTGCCTGCTTGGTCACACAGCTTGGTCACACAGCTTGGTCACACAGCTTTGTTGCGTTGAAGAAGCCTGTTGACTTGTCGATGACGAGCCGAAAGTCTTCAAAAAAAATTTTAAATTTTTGAAGTACCACCCGGCATACGCTGACCATTTGTAGAAATTGGGAACTGTCTCAGTTGCCACATCTCGCCGTTGCGTTTGCTCATCAATGACTGCATCAGATCTGCCCTGTGGAGAAGCGCCGACTTGTGAAACTCTTCAACCGCCAATTGATTGGTATTGCCACATAAGGTTTTAGGATCGCGAAGTCTGCCCGTCGTTTCTCCAAAGCTGTAAATGTCAATTTTGTTTCGTGTTATGTAATTCGGCGCTTTCGCAGCATTGATATCGTCGTAATAAAATTTTATTTGACCATTTTTATCAATATAAGATCGCTTTGGATCCGAATACCCAACACTACGCGGGTCGTAAATCATACTTGGATCATCCCCAGAAATATAATCAACCGATATTTCTGGTCGGCGCGATCTTTGAGTTTCGATAAAACGTAATTCATTTCCATCTGTTATGGAAGTGTATAGACTCTTTTCCGGAACTGTGTCTATTCCGTAATTCTGCAAAATTTGCGGTCTCGACATTCTTTGTTCTACGACATCATATGGACTCACAAAATTTGTGTCAAAATTTTCTCTTGTTTCCGGGCATTGGCACATTCCTTGACACATACAGTTTCCATTTACCGATTCAAATCCGGAAAGAAACAAATCATACGATCTGTGGTTATTTGTTGCCGAATGAATCTTATAGTTGTCAGTTCCCCACTCGGTAATGTCTGTTATTGGAGCCGGTATGATAGGAGCGATCATAGTTCTTGGATTGACTCCACCAATCAGTCTTCTGGTTGATGTTTCGCTCGTTCCAGTGCTCGACATCTGTGCAGACGGACACCATCTGTTTACACCCAACAGACCTTCTTGATCTGTGCACGTTTTGACTATATTTTGAGGAGTTGTGTCATAACCTTGTTGTTTGTATCCGTAAACCGACGCGATATTATTATCATAATCAATTGGTTGGTACTCTTGTGGTGTGAAGTTTTCTTTAATCATGAATCTTGGTCGTTTTTGTTTGTCATAAAGCAACGTTCCAAACATTACGGCTAGAACTATAAATACAATGTCAATCATTTATTATCTGAACCTAAACATACTCAACACCGGTGTTGAGCGCTCGTTACCCAAACTAACTTGGGGTATAAAGACACATTAATTTGTATAGTTTGGAAAATCCTTAAAAAAGCTAAAAAATAAATGGAATTTACTGTACATGATAATATTTTAGATGCTATTCGGTCAAGCCAAAATATCTTTCTACCATTGGCTGGCGGAACAATGAGTGGCGCAATCTTTCAACCTTTACCACCACTAAACAACTTTCATTTGACGAACAAATTATATGTCGACAATGCTGTACTAAACGCTACACCAGATGCTACTTCAATTGTCAAAGGAAAAGTTAAACTATCTGGTGATCTGAGTGGAACTGCCGACCTACCAATCGTTGCTCCTCTTGCCATTACAAACACCAAACTGGCAAACATGACTGGACTAAGTCAATTAAAAGGATCCAATGGACTGTCTACACAAGTAACAGATATTTTATTGGGAACCGGTTTAAGCATTAGTGGATCAACATTAAACGCAACTGGTGTGCTGGCCCCCAACGCTGGCAATACGCAATTTGGCTTGGTGGAGTTCGACTCGAGCGGAGATCTCGTCGAAACGAGCGCAAACTCTGGG